AAGAGCGTACTACCAGCTTCTAGAATGTCTCGGTGTAGGCATAACCTTCCATCCATAACCTCAACATCTAATGCTTTGAAGTGGCGAATCATGAGCTACAATTAACCGATGCTATGCAGGTTATCCGGATCCATTCTCCAATGAGATCCAAAAGGAAGCAGGACTGGACCGACGTGCCAAGTCGTGAAATGATAAGACGGGCTCATGCATCAGCTCTTCGTCTCAAGAGGAGCGAACAACAAACGGGTTGGAGCCGGGACTCGTTAGAGCAGTTTGGTAATTGCAAGGTATGGGGGTACTCGGACAATATGAAAGGACAAGTCTCGGGATCTCCAGACATGAGTGATGTACGGAAGAATTCGAATTACAAGAAATGGGAGGTAATGCCGTTTAGGAGCTTAAGAAAAGAGGCTCGGGATCACTATACGCAAATGGAAGGTGTATCTCTGTACAAGATGGACGGCAACAGATTGGACGATCTTGTTTGCGTGAGGCATCCATCGGTAACGGAGGCGTAAACGCTGTTGAAGGTAATTTCCTAAGCTTCTTGAGTGGAAAAAAAAAATCAGAAGTTATAGCCATACGATTTGGTGGGTTTTCTTGTAGAGTAGAATATAGAATGTGATGTTGATTATAGGATTTTTTTTTATAGGTAAATTCGTTTATGTTACCGGAGACTTGGGAAGGAGATGAATCGGCGGCCACCAGAGTCTGTTCCATACATTTTTTAAACGAAAAATTCTGTAAAAAAATATATGAATCTGTTATCAATTTTTAAATAGATATATATTTTTTACATAAATTAATATAAATTTTTAAAAATTCTCCGTCAAATTTTGGCCACGAGGACCAAAAAAATACAATAATATGATTAGAAATGAAATTTCAACGTCAAATCTTCCGTCTCGTTTTTTCTTTTTCCGGGTCAGAGAAAGCAGGAGGACGTGTTCAGCATTAATTCTCAGTCAAGCTTTTCGCCATATATATGTATGCATGTATGTAATCTACTGAGCATTCTGGCCAGGAGGACCAAACAATGAAGAGAACAACCTTCTCATCGGATCATATCCTCCTCAAATTGGTCATCATTCATCTACTTGCTATATCCATCAACTCGAAACACCATATTGCCATGGCTTCAAGATCATTGATTTCAGGTCAGTCGGAGATTTATGAACATAATCTTCCTATTTCCGAAATAAGGACATCTGCGATAGAGGCGAAGAGGCCTAGTCTCCGGCCGCCTCCGACTCCCTCACTCAATGGCCGGTCTAATCAAGAAGTTCCTCCGCCGTCAGAGTAAGAAACGAAGGATAATGCTAGTTACACTCATCACCGCCAGCCGACAAGATTTTGCCCCTTGGAGTGGAGAGGCCCCAGTATATAACTCGCACTAGTCATTTTCTTGGTTTAGTTTTGTAAGTTGTGATCGTAGTCACTCATCTTCGTCTTCAGTCACTCATCTTTCATTTTAGTTTTTTACTGCATTCTATCTTCGGTCTCCCTGCCAGTTTATGGTTAATCGATTATTTCAATCTATTTCTGTTGCAAAAAAAAGTATGTTTTAGGTTTCCTCGTTATTCTTTGTTCTTTCTTGGATTTGAAATTTTGTCTCATATTATTCTTTTGGTTTCCGTTTCATTCATAAACTGGAAAAACAATGTACGGTAAGTTCCAAGATCTATAACAAGCATTTAGTCGGTTTGAATTCTGTTTACTGTAATCGCCTTGTTTGGATCGCTTTCTTTCATGCTGTTCATCTTCATCCAGTCAACAAAGTTGAAATCTTGGATATATGTTTCTCTTTCATTTCCGGCTTAATGTTTCCTTGATCCCCATCTTACTTTTGTATGTTGTTTCACTTTGTGCAAAAGGATGAGATAGTCCCTAACTTGTTGGTGATGCCTCCTGGCAGTGATTTGCTTGATCACCCTCTGCTTATGAATGAGAGTATATTTTTACTGGTAATTCGTGTGAATCTAGAGATTTCTTAAAAGAAAAGTTTTTGACATCTATCGTTGGGGAAGAAAAGTTTTATGGTGACAGCATCACTTTACCCAGAACCAAGATGGGAGGTGAGATATGATTGTTGTATTTCTTATTGTAAATTTTTTCATTCCAAGAAATATGCAATAGAATAGGTCAAATTTGTGTCGAATTCTGCGTTTATTTCATTTCAAGAAACATGCGATAGAGTATGTCAAATTTGTATCGAATTTTGTGTTAACAGGTTGTATTTTCTTTTTTAACTATCTTATTGTGAGATAATGAACAATGTGAATTTGCTTAATCTTATTCTTGTTTTCTTTAAAAAAAATTATTTTCTAGATAGTCAAATTCAAGTTGTAAATTGGACTTGAAGCTGTGATTGTCTTTCATTTTTCCCGATGAATAAAGTCAAAGAGAGAAGTTGATAAATTCGTCGAATTGCTTCTGTTCCATATGAAGTTCCGAAGACATTCAGCGTGCAGCCGGTTCACAGGTTCCTGTCTCCCTTTCTTTCTCTCTTAGAAAATGTGTACTACTTACTTCGGCCTCTGCAAAGTTGCAAATTGAACTCGAAGTTTTGATTTTTGGAAAGTCATTGCTGAAAGAGATAGTATTTCTACATTCTTCCTCTTGACAAGTGAGGGATTTATCAAGCAATTATTTGGCTGTTGTGCGAAGTATATTCATATATATATATGGTGTCATGGTGAACACTGAGTTGTTTCTTTGTTCGTCCAAAAGTTTCTCGTCATAATAAGTCTCTATATGACATTCTGTGTGACTTTAGATTCTTTTCATGTTGTTAATCCGTTTATGTTGTAAAATGCAGATTAATGCCACTGTCGTAGTTGTATGTAACATTTGTGTTTTGCCTCCACAGTAAGAGTTTGTGACGAATTAGTCTTATGTGAATTTTGCATGAGTTTCTACTATATGCATTTTGCTTCTAGGTACTTGTCAGGCAGTTTGGACCTGTACGTTTGAAATAGCTAAATAGGTAGCATTTCGATTGTGTTTGATATTCTTCAGGAAAGAAATATTGTCGACGAGAAGTATGACAATGGTGCCAAACTATTTATGCCCTGAAATTGGATTGCTTAGACCTCCATATTTTGACAATGATATTGATACATTAGGTTGTCGATGCATTGATGAAGAAGTTCTTCAAGACCTGCAAAATTGGTGCAAATTTCTCGGGAGGAAGAACAACCATATCATGAGTAATTTTCATGAATTCATCTCATCCATCCACCTTTCATACTTTTTATGGATTTAACATACATTTTTATGACATTACAAATTGACATAATAGCGTATGTTAGATTTTTCGGGAGTTAGAGGATTGACTTTGAACCTTGGTGGCAGTCCTCCATCTGTAAGTAATGTCGAATTATTCAAGTTGCTGTTGTTGGCTGTGTCCTAAAAGGGGTTTGAGATTATCAAAGTTCTAGCAAATTCGAATAGTTACGCGAGGACAAAGAATTTGGGTAACTATGAATGTTTAATATGGATACTTATGTTCTTTACTTGGTCTGTCTTGATCTCCTTTTGTATTTTTGGTAGTTGGATTTAGAAAGACTTTCATTTTAAAAACTAATGTTAAACTAAGTGAATATATGATTGTATATGTTGCTCTGATATCCCTTATTGCTTCTTCATGAAACTTTATCTTTGTTCGTTTCTCATTAAAACATCTTTATCACAAAGACTTATCATGGATATCAACCGTAACATCTGCGAATACATTTATCGATGAAGATGCGTCACTTTTGTGTGCATACCTTCAAATTTTGATGGTTTATTCTCTTTGATTTTTTTTCCCTTTCCTTTTTTTTCGTAACTTTAACCAAGTCAACCATTTAGTAGTGTTCGTATAAATTCTTCCTCCCTACAAAAGACAGATTCGTCAAGCAATTAGGCAGCTACCTGAGGTTCATGCTGGAGAGTCTGTGTTATATTTTCCACCACGTAAGTTCGATGAATTTTCTTTGTTGTTTATTAGTGCATTTTTTGTATGTTCCCATCTCATTCACAACATTTCTGTTGTTGCTAATTCAGATGACATATTGATTGAATGACATTTTAACCGGTGCCATTAGTATGATAATTGAGGACACAATTATTTCCTTGAGAAAGTAATTATCCCAATATACAATGCTTTAAAAAGGCGGTTAACTTTCAGATGTAGCTGCTAGAGTAGCTTACAAACAAGCGTTTATCTGTAAAGCAAAAATTTGTAGGAAGCTGCCAAAGAACAAGAATAGGACTACAAATCATTTTACTTGGAGAAAGTAAGTTTAATTTTCATTGCATTGCATCTCTTTGATAACATATTAATATCTAAAGCCACAAAACTATTAATTTATATCTCTTACATATTAGGTTGGCCAATGCATGAGGACCATGACCTCTTCTGTTTAGAATCAACAAAAAGAAGCAAACCGGAAAGATAATTAGGAATTTCCAGGTCTCCAAGGGAGACACCGAAAACAGATGAATATGTTGAGGACGAGACAAGAAGTGTTTAAAATATTGACTATCACTATGCGAAATTTGAGCTCAGAGCTCTGCTATGTATGTTTCGAGAACAACAAATAAGGAATTTTTCTTGTGTCATGTGATGTTTTTGTTTTTGCAGGTTATTTCTAAGAAGGAAAAGGAAAAGATGGAAAAAAGAAGAAGGACGAAACCTTGCTTGGAAAGACAGAAGGTGCCATTTCTTTCTTTTGTCACTAAAGGTTCCACCGCTTCTTTTAGGCTTTGACCTCCCTTCAAATGTACGTAGTTAATTTATTACTGTTAAGGTTGTTTTTGCAGAAAGTTGAGGTTGTTGATGCAGGTGGATCTGAGTAAATCTGAGAAGATTCTAAAGCGAGATATTCATGGAAGAGATAAGGATGGAATCTTGAAGATAGATTTGGCCAACAACTTTGGAGAAGAAGATAAAATCAAATCAATAAACAATCGAAGCTGAAGAGGAAGTTATATAAAGACGACAAGCAAGAGCAGAAAGGGCAGAGCTTAAGAGATTATAATTTAGAGAGTGCAAGAGTCTTTTGTTCTTTATGGTTTTTTATTTCTGGTGAGTGAGATTGTTCTGAAGGGGAGTTCTCAACAGTAATCTGGACAAACCCAGAACGTGAGAGTGGGGATTCACACGGGTTGTGTGTTGAATCAATAGATTTTGTGTCATAGGAGGGCTAACACTCAGGGGGAGTGTGGTGCATCTGGGTTTTACTGCAACTATCTCTCTATTATAGTAGTCAGATTTCCTTGAATGAAAAGAACTGATTTTGAGTGATTTCTGAGTGCGTTATTAATTTTTTCAATTACAATATAAACAAACTCTTGTTTCAGACGGTGGTAATTATTGCTTCACACAGTATGGACTCTCCGGTAATATTTTAAGACGATCTTAACATTTTCGTTACGTCAGCCATTATTAAACTTATACAAGGTCTGGAATTGTTTTCGTAACACTTTTACTTGGTATTGCTCTACTACTTATTGCTAACATTTAGAGTGTCTGGGTTGCAGCAATTCTTGACAATAATGTTCATCTGGAATGCAAGAAAAACCATGGAAATCTCCGAAAAGAAGATACAAATGGTGAATCTGGGTATTGCGCTGTTGTGGACCATTATACTGCCAGTGCTTTGCGAATGGTTCTTTTGTCCAATTATGGATTGGTTGCAGTCATAAATATAACTGATTGAAAATAAGACTGAGTTGGCCTTGTTTTCGGTTCTTATCATCATAAGCAAATACGTTGAGATTT